TTAGAAAAAAAATGTAATATTCATCCCTTTATGTTCAATGGCATTATCACATCCGAATTTGGCTTTATCAATATCCTGGCTGATATTACCTTCCAGAAACCAAACTGGACTAGCCATATAAATACTGCAGCTACAATAGCAGGTCAGAGGTTAGAATTTCTGTGGAAAGTAACTCGCCTCTCATTTGCCTGGTGCCTGTCTACTATTTACAAAGCACAAATCACAAGTGTGGTGGAATATTCACTGCTTGCCTGGATGAGTGCAGCTCCAATAATGCTCAATACTATCCTGAACAAAGCAGCCTGTTTGACTGGCATCATGATCACCATCTTCATACATGTATACCATAAGAGATGCAATAAAGAAATTCACCCTGGTCTCTTCACCAACACCATCCACAACTATGACCTCTAACAGCTAAAAAGATGTGGGCAGCAGGTGCACGGAATACCACCACCTGAAAGTTCCCTTCCAAAACACATACCATCCCGATTTGGACCTTTATCATGTTTTGTTCACTTGCACTTGGTCAAAACTCCAGAATTCCTCCCTGACAGCATTGTGATACTTCCAGGACATGTGGCTCAAGAAGGCAGATCAACTCATCCCTTTCTCAAGGGCAATTAAGGATGAGCAATAAATGCTGGGCTAGACAATGAAAAAATTTAAAAGAAGTTGGTAAGAAGTAATGAGTGATGTGCCACAAAACATCTGTGTGGAGACCCTACCTACTCACTATATTTGTAACGAAGATAACTCAATAGACAGCAATATTTAAGAATGTCAAAAGATGCAAAAATTGATGGCACAGTAAATAGTGTAAGCAGGAGCAAGTAATTATAAAGATAAATTGATAGGTTAAATAAGTGTACAAAACAGTGCCAGAAGGTTTTAATGCAAGAAAGTGTGGCCTCATCTGTGTAGAGCCAAAAAAGATAGCTCCAATATCACTTAAACGGCAAACAGCTAGGAACATTTGGAGGCCCAAAGAAATTTGTGGATATTTATACATAGTTCATTAAAATGTAAAAGTCGGGTACAAAGAATAAATCGAAAAAGGTTCATGGAATGTTAGTGGTCATAACTAGAGGGCGATGTTGCCGCAGCCATAGAAGGTCCTGGTATTTTTCTATAACATTTTTCACAAAATAAGGAGCTTGTTTTGAAAGCTGTGAAATTATCTCACAGAGGATTTTATTAGCAACTGTTGTTAATACAATGCAGCAAAGTTTATTTAAAAAAAAATTGATAAATTATTACAATTTAGAGGAAATATAATGGTACAAAAACATTAATTGCTGGAAAAACCCAGCAGGTCTGGCAGCATTTGTGGACAAAAAGTAGGGTCCAGTTCTGAAGGGCCAGTGGACCCAAAACCTTAACTCTGCTCTCTCTCCACAAATGCTGCCAGACGTACTGAGTTTTTCCAGCAATTTCTGTTATTGCTTTCCAGCATCTGCAGTTCTTTCTTTTAAATATAATGTTACACATTGTTACTAAAGCCAATAACAAATTCCACTGCAACAACTTTCCAAGATACAAAGTAGTCAGTAGGTGTAAATGGATCTTTTTTTGGGTTGGCAAGACGTAACAAGTAGGGTGCTACCTCAGCCTGGGGCTCATCAGCTCCATCTGAGTTTCTTTTTTCTCCGTCTCCTCTCTTTTCTTTTTTTAACTTATTGTGTGTTGAAGAGCTCTGCCACAGTGACACAATCAGTGGTGAGTGGTCACAGCAGTGTGGACTCAAGTAGGCCCATCAGCACAGACTCGCAGCAATGGTGGAGGCAAGTTTGGGTCCCTGGCAGCTTCTGCTCATTGAGGGGGTCCTAGCACCAATTCATGGCTGCTGCAGAGGAGGTGAATTTGGGTTCCTGGTGGCATCTGCATCTGTGCATATTCATGGAGGCGAATTTGGACCTAGTACGAGACCCAGTGGCATCAGCAGCAGTTGCATTGGCAAGGTGAGCCTGAAGCGGACTCAAGGTGACAGTGGAGTAGAGTTTAGGCCAATGCAGTACCTGGCAGCATTGGTGGTATCTACATTGGTGAGGTCCATCAAGGACTCAGTGGTGAAGGTGTCGGTGGATGCAAGATGACACTGAAGAGTTTCGTTCCAACGTAGGCAGTGTGATGAAGTGAACTTATGCCTGGCCACCAGGCCCATGATGGAGTACTTAACAAGAAGGACTGTAAAGTTGAACACTTATTCTAATTTCTTCATTTTGTCTGCCTTTGTTTTGGTTTATTTTCTGTGTTTTAACATGGCACCGGAGAGTGGTGACTCTATATATTTTTCACTGTATTTTGTACCAAAATACATGAGACAACAAATAAAATCAAAACAATGCTGGGACCTCAACTGTTTACAATTTATATAAGTTACTTAGATGAATGGACAGCTGCTAAGTTTGCTGATGACACAATAAAGGTAGGAAGGTAACTTGTGAAGCAAGTCTCAAGGAAGTTACAAAAATATATTTATAGGTTGAGCAAATAAAGATGAGGAAAATGGATGTACAATGGGAAAATGATAATGGTCTATTTTGGCAGGAAGTACAAAAATGCATATTATCCAAGTGATGAGTGATTTGAGAACTCTGAGATGCAGAGGCATCTAATCTCCTCAGGCATAAAATCTGAAAAGGCAAGTATTCAAGTACATGAAATAATTAAGAAAGGTAATAGAATGGGGAATTGAATACCAAGGTAGAGAGGCCTTGTTTCAGTTAAACAGCACATTGATTACTTTGCACACTTTTGGTTACCCTATTTAAGTCTATTATGTAATAGACTTGTATCTATTGGAGTTTAGGCGAGGAAGAGGTAAGTTAATTGCAACATAAAAACTCTGAAGGGTCTTGATAGATTAGATGTAGAAAGGTAGACAAACAGGAGGCTGGAAAAACACAGCAAGCCAGGCAGCATCTGGAGAAGTCAACGTTTTGGGTATTATCCTTCTTCAGGACTTGATGCGGGGGTAGGGCGAGCTGCGGATAAGTAGGGCGGATGGGGGGGTGGTGCGGGATAGTGGAATGGTGGTGATGGGTGGACACCAGTAGGGAGAGGCTGGCAGTTTCACCCCAGGCGAAGATGCTTGGTGAGATGGTCAGCCTATGTTTGGTCTCACCGATGTACAGAAGACCACATCGGGAGCACTGGAGGCAGTAGACTGGGTTGGGGGAGATGCAGGTGAAAATCTATCTCACCTGAAAGGACTGAGGTTCCTGGATGGAGGTGAGGGAGGTGGTGTGTGGGCAGGTGTAGTCCAGGTAGCTATAGGAGCCTATGGGTTTATAGTAAACATTGGTCCGTAAACTGTCACTGGAAATGGAAACAGAGAGATCAAGAAAGGGGAAGGAGGTGTCTGAGATAGACCAAGTGAATTTGAGGGCAGGGTGGAAGTTGTTAGCGAAATTGATGAACAACTCCAGTTCAGCCTGGACGCAGGATGCAGCGCTGATGCACTCATTGATTTAATGGTGGATGAGTTGGGGAACAGTACCTGTGTATGTACTGAAGAGGGGACTGTTCGACATAACTGGCAAAGAGGCAGGCGTAGCTGAGGGCAGGGTTACTGGAAGTTTCCGAAGAGGTAGAGGGCATTGTTTGTATCCTGGATGTAGGTGCCTGGACCAAGGGGGACGAGAATGGAGTTGAAGTTGGAAAAGATGAGATTGGTGGGGCAGGAGCACGCGGAAACTGTGGGTCAGCCGGGGTAGTTGGGCTTGTGGATCTTGGGGAGTAGGCAGAACCAAGCAGCGCGAGTCTGGCAGTCTACAAGGTTGGACATGGTGGAGGGGAGATCACCGGAGGTGATAAGGTAATGGACAATGTGGGAGATGGTGGCTTGATAGGCCACGGTGGGGTCGTGGTCAAGGAGAAGGTAGGATGTGGTGTTGCAGAGTTGGCATTTGGCCTCTGTGATGTAGAAACCTTTCCTCCAGACTACCACCGCCCAGTCTTCATCAGCAGGTTTGATAGTGAAATGGGGATTGGTGCAGAGAGAGTGGAGAGCTGCATGAGGGGGTGAGGTTGGACTAAAGTGAGGAGGGTAGAAAAAGAGGTGGTTGATGTCACGTAGGTAGTTAGCAATAAAGAGGTTCAAGGTGGATATGAGACTGCGAAAGGGTGTCTAAGAGGAGGAGGAAGGTTGGAGGTGAGAGAAAGAGTCCCCACAGGGTGGTTGAGAGTCTTTTGTGAAGATAAGGCAGCAGAAGATGTAGAAATGATGTTTCTTCTTCTGAAGGAATCTGAAACTAGGAATCACCATTTAAAAATCAGGGGTTGTCTATTTAAAACACATTGGGTGAATTATTTTCTTGGAGGGTCCCAAGTCTTTGGAACTCTCTTCCTGAAAAGGATGGCAAAGAAGATTGTTTGAATATTTTTAAAGGCAGAGGTGCTTGTCAAGCAAAGGCTTAAAAAGTTATCATACGGGCATGTTGAAACGTGGATTTGAGGTTATGGTCAGATCAACCATGATTTTATTGAATGCCAGAACAGGCCTGATGAGGTGAATGGCCTATTCCTGCTCCTGGTTCACAAGTTTGTATGCAAGGCTCCTTTGACAGTGTCTTCCAAATGAATAAAATCCAACTGTCCAGGCCAAGGGCTGCAGATGCATGGGAACACCAGTATCTGTAGGTTCCCCTCTAAACTACAAACCAACCAGACTTAGATCTGTATTAACATTCCTTCATTAGTGCTGAGGAAACTTCCTTGAATTTTCCTCCAAACAAGTCTATCCCAACAGTAGTTCAAGAAGATAGGCCACCACCACTTTCTGAACACCAATTAGAGAATGAATTCCAGGGAAGGACACTTCCCATGATTGAGTTAAAAATTGCTCCATTGAAAAAATTTAAATTTTAAAACAATAATGTGGATGGCATTAGGTTACTGTCGGCTCCAGTTGCAATGAATGTTTGGACAAGCCAGGAGTGGCTGAATTGCCTTCTTCTGTTTGCATATATTGAAATATGAAATGTTCAGGTGCTTACCTGAGTGATATCATAGGCCATATTAGAATGGTAACAACCCATCATTAATTCTGGGTCTTGTGTTTCAAACTTAAGCATTTTTGTCTTCTCTTCCTCCAAAGAATTTTTCATCCAGTTTGAAATTATCACCTGTAAATTCAAAAAGGGCAGAAGCTCTCTCACTTCAAAACCTTGACTGTTGAGTG